CCAAGAAGCACGGTGAAGGGTGAAGGCAGTGGAAGCTCACCTGAGAGAAGAAGGAGTGCTTTTAGTGTGTTCTGCTACAGCTTACTCTATGGGTGGAACTTTCTGGAATAACTGATACTGCCTCTTGTCCACTCAGAAGAAGAGCTCATTGAATGCTTGTGAGTTCATTGGTTGGAGGGATTGGAGGGATTACCTGCCATCTCAGCCCCGTGACTATGAAATCAGGCGGCCCTTAAGGAAGATTTTGAAAGTACAACCTTAAGTATTTGAATAGTTCCATAGCTCTGGTGCACTTGGCATCACTGATTTCCTCAAAAAAGCAGGAGGCACAGGACTGACAAGGATCATGATGGAAACTGTCCCTGAAATTCTACAACAGATTGAGGAAAGATGGAGACACTTCGGTCTGACATGAAAAGAGGAAAATGATTCTGATCAACAAAATCATCTGAAATATTGCCACTTAAATAAAAAAAATAACATAAGGGGTCATACAGTAAAACAAACAAAGTGGTAGTCTTTAAAATTTGAATGACAAATATATATTTTAAAAAATGATCTAGAAAGTTCAATTTGTTGGTGGAGTACCCACCTAGCCTCTGTGAGGCCCTGTATTCCATCCCCAACATTATTAAAAATAAGTAAATAAGTAAATAAGCAAATGCAAAAGCTAATGCGCATAGAGAGGGGTGCATTTTCAGAACCACATGTTGTATGGAGGTTACACACAAGGACTCGGGAATTATTTGGACACTCCTCAGGAGACAGGGGGATACAAAGCACTTTCACAGAAAGGAATGCTGACAGTGTTTCCTGCAGAATATGTGTCAAAGTAAGTGGCAAAGCACCTGTTCTAGGGGGACTGTTCCTTTATTCCAAATAAGTTCATGCTTGTGTGACAAGGCTTGGCTTGAGCCATAATATAAGGTTTAAGTTTAGAATTTTTTTTTTAATTTTTTGATTAACAATGGTTGGTATATTATCTATTTTTATCATGAAATCTGTTACTCAGATTAACAGATATAGGTATATAACATTGCACATATGATTGAATATTACTGCTTGCTTTCAAGAAATCTTAAATTTTTATTCTTACCTCTTTTTTTCTTTTTTAACTTAAAAAAATATTTATTTACTTTTATGTATTTGGCACACTGTCTACAGGATCTCACTACACAGATCAGGCTTATAGTAATCCTCCTGTTTTCAGCCTTCCAAGCACTGGGATTACAGGCATGTGCCACCATGCCCAGTATCAATCAGTGAGCCCTTGGGGCGGGGCTGGCATGGCATGTTGGGGATTTAAAATATTATTTTAAAGAGAGTATAGTAATAATTGATATGATATTAGAAATGGTACACATTTAGAAGACCAAAATGACAGGTACTGAAGCGCGGCTTTTGCATCACACAGTGCTGCCCTTGACGTACTGGCTTAGCTCCCAGGAATCAGCACACAGAGTGAGTCAAGGTGAAAATTGTACACATTAACTGCTATTTTCAAAAAGCTGATGAAAATTCTCAGTACAACCACCTCAGCCATTCTGTATATATACTTGAATGTCTTCCCCTCTACCTGTTATCCTGTCCTTTCTCTGATCTCTCCTCTTTGTTGTTTAATCCTTATTTAATATGTGCATGGTTTCAGCTTGTGCTACACTGGAGAAGAAGAGATCGTGGAGCTACTAAGATTATAAAAATTTTGCTAAGTTTGTCCCTAAGACACCTTCATGCCTGATTATTTAGTGAAGCAGAGGGCTCTGGCTTGTTCATAAATCACGATGCTCCACTAAGCAGCTGCTTGGTGGCCTCCTTCATGAACACTCTATTTAGTGCCAGATCAGAAACTCTCCAAATTGGATTCCCAGGGCATGAAGAGTCACCGGTAGCCAAGGGAAGGGTGTCTTTTTAAGATTCTTCTTCTGAAGTGAACTTTGTAAAAGAAAATAAATGGCTTGAGTTAAGGCAAAGTGATGCCCCATCCATAAGATGCGGTTTGTATCATTTGGCAAATCCATTTTAGAAAGCATTACAAATTTCATGGCATCTAAAAAGTGAGGCTCTGTGAGAAATTAAATGCAAATATGTAGTTAAGAGATCCTCTAATTCCTTGACATTCTATCCTTAATTAACACTTGATTTTGATTTTTTTTTTTAGGTAATGGCTTTTTCTGAAAAGCTAACAGTACAGTTGAGAATTTTATTAAAATAAAATCTCTTGTTTTGTTATTACTCTCCATTTGCCTGTTAGGCTTAGCTTTCATGAATCTATTGTCTTATTTCTAAATTTAAATTTAAAAAATAAAAAGTAAGAACAAAATCTTCAAGATAGTATCTTTTACTCAATATCATAATCTAATATAAATAGCAATAAACATAAGTCACAAAGCATATTTCCATATTTTTGTGACCCATTTGTGAAACACTCTGTGTTTCTTTTTGATGAATGCTCCTTGAGAATTTTGGAGTTCAGACATCTTTACAATGTGTATAAATTCAGTTTCATGTTCCTGTTATTTTCTTATTTTTACATTTAGCAACATGTGCATTAAATAATATTTGACTTACAGATTAGAGCTGACAGCTTAACAATGAGGTGAGAAGAAACATTAAAATTTACATCCAATCAAACCAATGCAGCTTGCAATCATGTAAATTCAGATGACGCTGCTCGTTTCTGGCTATGTGAATGTGGATTCCTCTCCGCGGTACTCAAGCTCCCCAGTTGTGCAGATTTGATTATCAAATCACCAGAGGTCACAGAATCCCACACACGCAAGCACACAACACAGTCCTCCTGGCTTAACGTTGTGGTGAGCTGCGACGTTCAGCAGCTCTCTGCTTCCCCAGTGTTAATGTCAACGAGCATTCACTTTTTCCAGATTCGAGTCTAGTCTCCTCAGGTATCATGGTGCTTCTGCCTAACCAAATGTCATCCTTTAATCTGGAACTCATGGTAATCCTCCATGAATCCCTTTCCCATTGTAGTTACAGCTAACAAACCAGCCCAAGAAGGGTTCATCATGGGTTCTTGTCATCTGTCCTACTGGCATTGGAAGCATCTCCAGGGAAGCCACAGATTGAGCTTACCAATGTCCTACTAATGTCAAGGCTATCTGCAACATGAAATGCTGGGCCGGGGTACTTTCTCTCTTCTGCATCCCTGTGTTAGGAGTCTTAGCAATTCTACAGATCTTTTCTTAACCACCCAAATATTAATCCTTTGGGTCCAGTAAAACTAGTTCTAGAAGCTACAGGGACATAAAAGACAGACTCCTGCAACTGAGGAGTTCAGAATCATATGGAAACACACTAAGCCAACAGGGGCATGGCAGTGAGGGAAGCCACATGGTAGCTGGGCTCAAACCGAGAGAAACTGCTGTCCCTTGAAATTGATCCTGATCCAAAGCATGGGCTCAGAACAGGTCCTTTAGTTTTAAAGAAAATAAAACTCTTTTAAAGATTTGTTTTGTTTTGTGGTTAAATTGAGATGAACTAACTCAAAACTGCAAGTGTATCTGAAAAATAACCAGCTATGATTGAACAATACTAGAGAAAATAATCCCAGATCTATTTGTCTAACTAAAATCAACATAAAATCTTAAAATTGTCCTTCCAAATGGAAGGCTGGGGTACCTCTCAGTTCAAATTAAACAACAAACCAAACAAAAATCTAAAAATTTATGGGGACTCCAACATTCAGAAAAAATAAAAGAATGATTTTCAAAGACCATTTAAAAAATGAAAAAACCCAAGCCTCCCATAAATTTTACAATGTAATATTACAAGCATCCAAAATAAAGATGACAATAATAATATTCATCCTGTCATGCTTGACTTCAATTCTTAGTTTAAATTACTAATAAACTCAAGACTCCACTCTTGAGTTAGCAATAAGCTAAGTAGGCAATTATAACAATGACCTTAAAATAGAACTTCTCTTCTTACAATTTAGGTTAACACAGAATATGCATGTGCCAAAAATAGCATTTTTGAACTTATAATTGGCTCCCCCTCCCACACTGATTTCAGGCCAAAGAGAACCAAATAAAGCCTGAGAAAGAAAGGAGACACTCATTAGCCAAACCTTGACATTTTATGTGCATTTAGGAAAAAAAAAAATAAGTGATTTTTTTTTTTTACACTAAAAGTATCATAAGGTAGCACATGGCTAATTTCATTCAAAGCATGGATTTCTAAAGCAAATTTTCAGTGGCTGGGGAGATGGCTCAGTAGAATAAGCGCTTCCCTGGTAAGCACAAGGGTCTGAGTTCAATCCCAAGTAAAAAAAAAAAAAAAAAAAAAAAAGGAACTTTTCACACATTGTGCTATGTATGTCTCTTTCTTGCTTTCTTAGTTGGTAATTTAAGGAACACATCTGACTTAACCTGAGGTACAGCTAGGATGAGGAAGCAAGTCTTATTTTGCATTAAGAGCAAATTCTCTCTCGTTCCCAGGCTGAAGATGGTTCATAAGGACGGCAACTCTAACGTCTATATTTTTAAAACCATTTCATAGGGTTTTCAAATCTTGGAGCCAGCACAGTGGCCTTAACATGAGATCGGACTGGAGGCCCGGCCAGGAATCTCACCTGAGGTAACTGGGGTCGCGTGAGGGAGCGGAGGTAATTGGTCCGTCCCAAAGTATGCAGAGCACTTGGTACATAATAAACAAACCCAGGGATAAAATCTCAGCATATGCATATAATCTCATGGACAATCAGTTGGCAGTACTGTTTCTCTGTTGTTACAGATAACGGCACTGAGATTCACTCAGCAAATTATTCAAGTTGCCAGAAGTTGAAAAGCTGGCTGAAGTCATTTCCCCAGGAACAGGAGCACGCTGGAGATAGGGCTTATCCCTGATCTAATTACTTCTGAATGAGCACTCAATTGTTATTAAGCTACCAACAAGCTGGGTCCAGGAAAATGACAGGATCATTCACGGGTTACCCTTAATACATCCCACTTGAATTCATCAGAAGAGCAGAAGATGCCTACCCAGATGCTGTCCTCCTGCTTGTACTGCTTCCAGTTGCGTCCTGTGTCACTAAACATCAGGCCATAACTCGTCACCCAGTCAGAGCTGCCGTATCTTCCCTGCGTGGCCACCGCTGTAATCTCCACTCTGTTCCCCAGGTCCATCTGGAGCCACTGCTGAGCATTGGAATCTGCTGGGGACCAACCACCAGTTCCTAGAGCAGGAGCAGAGAGAGAGAGAAGCTTATAGCCACGTCTCACATAACCGAAACTTTCAGCCGTAAAAGACCAATGAAACTGTTCAACCATGACGCCCCTACCCTGAAATATGTCATACTCTTCCTGGGTCTATACTAAAGATCCTGGTGCTTTCATAACTAAGCTCCCATTCCATCTCTCTGATTGCTTAGGAAAATTTTCATGCTGTTTCCACCATACTTTTTCCTTCTTCTCTCAGTCACTAGAGCTTCTATCTTGCGAATACCTAGTGGAGTTTCAAATTTAGTACATTTATGAGAACCTAGTGGTCTTGTTTCATGTCCATAAACTTTAGCTTTCACTCTAGATAAATGAAAACCAGGCTTATATCCTAGCTCTCTCACTAATTTCCCTTCTTTCTCTCCCTTTCTGTCCTTTCATTCCTCTCTTTTCCATTCTCCTTACTTTTCTCCAGATTGGCATCATGAACCCGCCATGGCTAGACATTTTACTATGGATACAAAGATGGAAGGACTTTAGCTGAGTCTTCGAGGCCAGGAACCATTTATTCAACATTTGGTCTCCAGCACCAAGAGCATTCTGGGCACTGAAGGGGCAGCAAGGTACAGAGAATGTTGTACCATGTGACAGGGAAGAATCCCTAACAAGGGGTAAACAAAATGACACCTGGAGTAGAAAGCACAGATTGCTTTAGGAGGAGCTCAGAAGGGCTCTGAAGGACAAGGCTATAGAGCTGAAATCCGAAGCAAGAAGAGTCATGCCTTGGGAAAATGGGTTGGGGGCATAATTGGGTAGACATCAAGCAGACCAAAGGGGGCCGATATGTAAGATCCCAGGATCAAGGGGGAAGCCGACACCGTCTGGAACCCACTTGTGGCCCAGGGCTCTTGGCACACGGAAGCACCCCACTGTGCCAACATCCAAGCGGGGGAATCAGCGCAGGACCCGAGCAAAGCATAAATGGACGCAAATACACAATGGAATATTCTTCAGCCCCGAGGAAGAGCATAATCTTGGGACATGCAGTAAAAGGGAGAAATCTAGAGATATTGTGTGAGGTGAAATAACGTAGAGACACGAATGCAGTGTCCTTCTGTTTCCTAGGTGCAAACTGGAAAAAGTTGAAGATGAGTGGAAAGTTAACAAAGCCAGACAGATGGCTAGCCAGCTAGCTCAGCTGACTGAAGTGCCTGCTTAGGCAGAGTGCAGGGGCCACGCTTCAGTCCCCTGCACCACAAGCCATGCCAGCCCCGCCCCGGGGTGTGCTGAGATGGCGACTGAGACTGGGCTTGGTGGCATGTGCCTGCAATCCCAGTGCTTGGGAGGCTGAACAAAGGATCACTGTGAGTCCAGTCTATGTAGTGAGACCCTGTAGAGCCTGTACTGTATACATTCAAAAGAGAAAAGGAAGGAAGGAAGGAAGGAAGGAAGGAAGGAAGGA